ACCTGTTGTAGACAGCTGATCTGAAAAAGCTGCCAAGATTTAGCAGGCAAATCTTTTGCTTCTCCTACATACAGTAAAGAAAATTTCACCTTCATCCCAAACACCACATGACACTGAGTTCCCACCAAGCTAACCCACCAAATCCAAAAGGTATATCTAACCCTAACTCCTGTGCTCTGGGAACGTTTCAAAGTGCCCTCACTTCTGCAGCATATAAACACTGTTTATCCTACCAAGAAGGAGCTTTTGAAAGGACCCTCTGGCAAGTCAGCCAGCCAGCAAACAATCCCTGGGCATCCTTCAAGGGCCAGGCATGATCTCTCAAACCACTGAGGATACGAAAATGAACAAGACCTGATTTCTGCCCTCAACCAGCTTCCAGTCCTCCCAGCTGGGGTGGGGTTAAGCAGGTGAGCCAAATGGGGTGGGCAGAGAGCAGGAGGGCCTTAAATCTCATGAGGCAAGGCTGGTCATGGATGACACCAACACAGACCAGGCCTCACAGGGCAACAGGCAGGGAAGGTGGCATCTCAAAGAGCACAGGCGCCACAGGTAAGAAGCACGAATAAGCTGGACTCACAGAGAACACCCGCACTGTGGAGGCCCTGGGTGCCGGGTAAGGTACCAGAGCTCACCTGGAAGCAACTGAATGCCAACTGAGCGTTATTTTTAAGGAGGAGCCTGCAGACCTGCCACCCTTCATTCAACTTGAAGGATTATGAACATGGCCAATGGTGACAAAGAAACATGACACTTATCCGTGGCAGGAAATGAAAAATGTTTGTTTCCCTAAACAGGCACACCTGCATCAAGCAGACTAAATACATTTCCATATGAAAACAAACTCTTCTGTAAGTTTTGTCACAGTCAGCAGCTTTACAGAGAACAGAATACTTTCAGTTATTTGGGGCCTTCTCATACCCTCTTGCCTTGGATGGAGGAAGCAAGCTTGGGATGCTTTGCACACACCGCCTGTGGGAAGTATGAATCAGGGGCTCCACTTCTATCTCCTATGGCGACAGAGGTGAGTCGGACGGGCCCAGCTCACAGCTCCTGCACAAGTGTCTCACATTTTGTGGGCCTCAGCAGGGCGTCTGCATACAGGATCGCTGTAGGACGAACTGAGATCATGCACATTAGACACTCTGAGTTCTGCGGGTCACAGATGCTCAACAAAGCAGCTGTATCACGGGACAAAGTGGGGAACCCTACCCCGTCTTCTCGGGTCCCCCAAACCCTAGGGCTCAGACACTCCTAAGGAGCCCTGGAATCTCCCTTTGAAAATGCCCTTAAAAACTGCAGGGCAGGGTTCTCCTGCCAAGTACCAGGCCAGGCCAGGCCAGTGGAGAGCTTGGATTCCTCTGTTCGGCCACCTGGTGAGGATGGGGGTTGGGGGGGTATGGAGGGGTGAGGGCTGGCTTAGGGCTCAACCTCAGAGGAAGGCCTGGGAACCTGGGAATTGTGCTGCCCAGCTGAATGAGCTGGCCGAGTTATCACTTGCATCATGGTCCTGCTGCTGGCAAGCTCAATGATGATGTGCGACTGCTAAGGGAGGCTTTACCCTTGAAAGAACAAGTTTCATTTAACAAGAAAGGCAGTTGACTCATCTACCTCAATGCCATCAACCCCAGATGGACCTTCCTAGGGAGAACCAGAGGGGGAAACTAACATATGCTGTTGAAACTGGAGGCGAGGTGGGTCTCCGGCTCATTTCTGGGCACAGAGGCTCCAGAGACAATACAGCTGTGTGGCCATGTTTCACAGCACACCGTGCCCCATGGGACACCCCAGAATTCTGATCAGATAAATCCGGAACAGTCAGCAAGGCTTCCTTAAACTCTAGCCATTTGGTGGGGGGTGGGAGGGAATAAACCTCTCAAAGTACAAAATAAGTATTGAAAAAAAGTTCTCTTTTGACAAGCTAATGTTTTAAAACAAGACTGAGGGCAAAATGACACATCCCATGCCTACAAACAGGAGTCCAGTTCTGTTATTTGGGAGCCTTGGTGGGCTCTTTCAACTTAAATATATTTAGTCCATCGTTAAAGAGATGTTCCAACCCAGACCCAATTCAACCCGCTCTGAAATGAGCATTAGTCAAAATCTCCTTCCCTTCCTTGGACAAGGCCGTACTTCACTCCAACAGCAGAAGTTCCTGAAGACTACAGAAAACAGGGAAATTTTAAGTAGGGTGCAGCCAAATGCAGGAATATTGTGCCAATAAGAGAAACCCTACCCTCAAAAGCTTTTCATAACATTAAAAAGTGCCCACATCATGGTAGTCAAGAAGCTTTGAAAGTCAGACCCCAATTTTGTGTATGTACATAGGGAGGAAGGAAAAAAGAAAAAAACCCTAGCTGGAAATCTAAAATGAGGCCAGTTTTCTATTTGGTGGTATAAGTGATTTTTTAAGCCCTTTGTTGTGATGTGCACATGCTGTCCTGATCGGAAATGGATAGACTTTAAAACCCCCAAGGTGCACACACAGGCAGGGACAGCTCCTCGGGCGAGCCCTCTTCAGTTACTGTGCTACTACAGCGCAGGCTCAGTTGCCAGCACTGGTTCCTGAAATCCACATGCAATCTGGAGACAGAAACTCCATTCAAATGATCCCTTGGTTCAGATCAGACTTTAAACCATCTCAGTGAAATGTTCAGGAGGTCATTATCCCTCCCTGAACCTACACCCACTCCTCCACAAAATGAGGATAACAAAGCTGCCCACCTTCCCTCACAGGGTTGGTGAAGCCACACAATGAGATTATGGATGCAAGAATATTTCTGTTCAAGCTCTACAGAAATGAAAGGTGGTATCATTGTTGATAACAGAAGAACATGCAAAGAACAGTAGCATGTGTGAGCAGTTCTTAAGCGTCACTAAATTAACTACAGTCCTACACAATCTAGACATCCCTATTTCTAAGAGAAAAATCACAGCATCACCCCAGTCCCTAACAGGACTCACCCACTGATTTTAAGCCTTATTAAAAATGACAAGGATTCTGGCCAAGAATGGGACTAGAATCTCAAATCGTAAAGGTAGGCATCAAGCTGTCAAGAAAAAAACCACATCATCTAGGAACCAAGCATTTTTTTTTTTTTTTTGGAAGAAAGAAAAATGCAACCACATCCTCTTGCTAGAAAGTCAAACTGCTTTGCTGGAAGTGCTTGAGGCCCCAGAGCTCGGCTTCTAGAATGGGAAATTAAAATGAGGTGTTGTGAACCTCACTCAGCCAGAGGTCTCCACACAGCAAGAGAGGCTCTCAGCCAGGTGCCTTCAATACCTGGGGCCCCCTTTCACAGGGTTTCATCAGACTTCTGTGGATGCAGCCAAAGAGGCAGGAAGAGCCATCTGAAACGAGCACAGTGCAGCCTTCACAGCTACCGTAACAGGCGCAGAGCTGGAGCTCTGGAGGAACCTTCCTGCAACAGCACCCGATCAGCAGCAAATGGGTGCAGGTCCCACTGCCTCCCGCCACAAGTCATGCAGAGGCAGACAGAGCCAGTCTCTTGAGGAATCTAGGAACATCTGAAGTCACCAAAAAAGCAGCCAGGTGTCCTCATGGGAGACAGACACACACAAAGGGCCAGGACCCCATAAGCCTAGAGCTCCATCTGGATCCTCCCTTGGAATTAGCAAGTCCCTCATGGGGATTGTCTGCCAGTCAGCCAGCCCGGCTGGGACATGGTTCAAGTCTACAGGGCTGCCAAATGCCAAGGGCTCAGTAACACAACATCTACCTTCTCCACCTAACTGGCCAAGTTTCAAACCAAAGCACTTCGGGGTAGTAGTTCAGACTGCACAGTGCCAAGGCAAAGTCTCTCTGTGGGCTGATACCCTCTCCCGCACAGAGGGAGGAAGCTGGGCAACGCCAGCACCAAGCTTTCAGGCACATTCCTGGTGGCCTCGGGCCATTATCAGTGTTCCTCAATAGAGGTCTTACCGGCGAATCTGTATCATGGACAGGCCACCCTGCAGGCCTTTTACCATCACTGGCCCATAGCGCTGAGAGGAGAGGAAGTGCTGCTTAACTGTGGCCAGGATATGATTCCACACTGCCCACGCACATGCCACCTGGTGCCCCAGGTGAGTCTTGGCAGGACCAAAGGGACAAAGCAAGGAAATATTTCAGCAGCCTGGAAGCAGAGAAATGAGAGCCACCAAAAATGCAGAGGGCACAGCCCGGGAAGGCAGACTGCTGTTGTAGCTGTTCTGGAAGGCCATGGCCTGACATGCGGGGTGGGAGAAGAGGGGTGTTCCACCCAAGCATCCTGCCCCCCTTACAGGCAACAGAACCCTCCGCTTCAGAGGCCTCCCCGTGCAGACATAGGAAAGCGAGACGCCTCCGCTGGAGAACGCCCTTCCCTCCCGGTAGGACTTCTGGTAGGTACAAAGCACACTTCGGGGGCCAGCGTCTGCACAGGGGCAAAGGGACCCGCGCCTGGACACTATGCTCCCGAGGCTGGGGCTGGCTCTGGGCATTCAGTAAGTTCACTGCATCCCTGAATTGAGCAAAGACACTCAGGAGGGCAGCCCTGCACCGCCCAAACACACCGGCCTGGGCCTGGCCCCCCGTGGCAGCACTTCTCAGAACACGTCTTCAACGTCCAGCAAGACTCCCGGGCCGGGCCTGGTAACCTGTCACGAGTCAGGCGACGCCAACTCCTCCAGCTAGCTGCCCCCAGGCGTCGGCTGGGCCGGGACGCTCGGGCGGCCCAGAACGCCGCGGCACCGAGCCACTTTCTCGCAGGAGAGACTCTATTGTCCATTATCAAATTAACACTGGCGATCCATCTTCCTGCGGAGCTCTTGGCGCGCGGGGCGCAGGCGACCATCGCCCGGCCTTGCAAGCGAGAAAAGCGGCGCCGCAGTGCTCCCTCGGAGGGGCAGCCGCGCGCCCCGGCCCGCGCGAGTGGACACCCGCACGCACACAGCGCACACCCCCGCCGCGCCGCGGGCGCCCGCGCCTTCCCGAGGCCCCGAGGCGGCCGGGCCCTCACCTTCGATGGCGATGACGTGCTCCCGGATCTGGTTCTGCAGCACCGGCTCCTCCACGCGCTCCAGCAGCTCGTAGATGGAGTAGATGTTGGGGTGGACCGACTCGAAGCGCTGGATCTCGGCCCGGATGGCAGCCGAGTTGGCCAGCTGCTGCTGGTAGTTCATGGTGCAGGCGCCGCGCCCGGAGCCGCGCGCCCCCCGCCGCCGCCGCTGCCCCGCGCCCCGGGGCCCGCGGGTCGCCGAAAGCCGGGCGCCGCAGCCCCGGGGGAGCCGGGCCCGCCGGCGGCGGGCGGAGGAGGCGCAAGAAGAAAGGCGCGGGCGGAGCAGGCGCGGGGCCGGCCCGCGGGCTCAGTTCATGGCCGGGACGCGCGGCCGGCGAGCGAGCGGGCCCCGGCGTCCCGGGTCAGCGAGCCGCCCGGGGGGAGCGCGCCCCCATGGAGCGCGCCGCGGCGGGCGCGGCCGGCCCCGGAGGAGGCTCGCTCGGGCGCCTTCCTGCGCCGCAGCCGCCTTCCAGCCTTAGGCGCTGCTGCTCCGCGGAGCAGCCATTAAAGCCCAGGCAGCCGCCGCGCTCCGAGCGCCCGGGCCGAGGGCCGACCCCCGGGCAGTGTGGCCGCGCCGCTCCGGGCGCCTGGCTGCGGCGTGGGTCCGCGCGCTGCGTACTGCGCCGTCCGGCGCGCCGGGGCCCCCCGCGCGAGCCCGCCGTGCGCCGCCCGCGGAGCCGGGATCGTGCCGCAGGCGCCGTGCAAGCCGCGGAGCCCGCTCCGAGCGCCGCCCGCCGCCTGCCCGGCCGGCCCCCTCCCTGGCACGCAGGACTCCGGCCCACGTCGGCCCCGCCTCCGCCTCCGCCTCCGCCCGCGCCCGCGCCCGCGCTCCGCCCGCCCGCGCTCGCCGCCCTCCTGCCGCCGCCGCTGCGTCCTCCTCGGCGCTTCCCAGCGCGCCGGATCCCGGGGAATTGCGCCAGGCCCCGCCCCGCGCTTGCCTCTGGGCTTCCTGGGACTTGTAGTCCGCGCCCCCGGCGGGCCGGGGCAGAGGGGTGCGCCGGGCGTTCTCACGGGGTCAGGGTGCGGGACCCCTCCCGCCGGCCGGGCCCCGCGCCGCCCCGCTCCTGCCCGGGTTCTCGCGGCGGCCGCCGCGCCCCGGCACGGGGGAGGCTGCCCGGGAGTCCGCCCGCCTGCGTTTTTGTTTGTTTCCCAGCGGCTGGCTCCAGGAGCCTCTGCGACTCGCCGGCGTCCCACGGCCTCGCTCGGTTTGCGGGCCTCCGCCTCCCGCGTTTGGTAACTTTCTGCCTCATATTCTCAAAGTAGCACACGTGCTTCCTCTTCATACGTGCGATTTCTTTCCCACGGCGACGCGCCTCCTGAGCCCATGCGGCGTGGGGGCCACACTCCACGAGTGGACTGAAGTTTAGACAGGGGCGCGAGATGCGACAGAATAGCACGAAGGCTTTCGAGGCATCCTTCTCCCTCAGAATTTTTAACACTTGAGCTGTGGAGCTCAAGCTGCTGCCTCCTGCGCGCCGCGGCCTGCCCGGCGGCCTCCACGGGGGTCCCTTGCCCCTGGCCCGCCCGTCCCACCGCAGTCCCCGGTTGAGCTCAGCCATGGGGACCCCGCGGAGCTGGGTCCGCACTGCAGCGGCGCGCAGAAGGCTCGTCCCGCAGCCTGGAGGCAAATGGGACGCTTCAGATTTGCAGAAGCCCGGGCTGCTGGGCGGTCCCACAAGGTCCTGGACTGAGGACAGTGGCTGAGTCCCTGCCCCCAGCCATCGGAGTGGTCTTTTTGAAATACAACCGGCCGGCCGGCATCACCGGTTTAAAGCCTGCTGTGCCTTCACCGACCCACTTAGCAGGTTGCTATGGCCTAAGCACCTTGGTATCCAGCCGTGTAGGCTTACTGGCTAGGTCCCACCAGTTCCCAGGGATGTGCTGACGTTTTTGCCATTCCAGGCCTGCGCTCCTCTCCTCCTTGACACAGGCAGAGGCCATCACTCCATACCTCCTGCTTTCCACGCATAAGTAACTCTAATAACCAAGAGGCTACCTGACCTATCAGCAGCAACTGATCAATCGTGCTCCAGGAAACCCCTTCTCCCGGTGCTCACCAGGGCTTCCTGCTATGTTTCTGGCTTCCGCATCCCTTTTGTGGTTTCTTCCTACTCCCCTAACCTCTGAATATGGAGAGCCCCACGGCTTATGGTTAGGCCTCTTTGCTATCTGCTGTTATCACCTCTGTCTTACGACTTTGAATATTATACGCAGGTTAATGAACCTCATGTGTATCTCCAGCCCTGACTTCACTCCAGAATAACAAATTCGCATCCACCTGCATCCTCAACATCTCTGGATGCCCAGCTGGAAATTGCAGTCCAGTCGCCAGCTGAACCCTGCCATCCCCTCCCGTTACATCTCCTAAAAATCTTCTCCATCCCAGTCATGGGCAACTCCAGGCCACCATTTGCTTAGTCTAAAAATTTGGTGCTGTTCTTTTTTGCTTCTCATTCTCTCATATCCCAAATGGTGCCAGCTCCACCTTCAAAAGATCCAGAATCCCACGACTGCTCACCACTCAGCTGAAGTCAGGATCTAGCTGGGTCATTGCTAGATCTAACAATTGCAATAGCTCCCTGCTTCCTACCTGTTCCCTTACAGTGTGTTCTCAATTCGGCAGACCTGGTGAAATTTATAAAACCTATGCCAGGGCGTGTCATGGCTTTGATCAAAAACCTCCAACAACTGCCATTGCATCTGGCCTCCCTTACAGGCATGAGCTCTTATGAAGAGCTGCCCAGGGGCTGAGCTGTTATTCCCCTACTTGTAAGCTAACAAGTTAGCCTGCCACAATTCATGGATGCTGGCAGAAGACTTGAGACTCCCAGATCAGAAACAAAGGACTTTGTTATTCATAATAATGGCATTGGCCAGAATATCAGCATTTTCATGGACCAGTTCACCAAGCCCCAATTCCCATGGGCAACATGAGGCCCAGGTGAAGCCTGTACTTGCAGTCAGCTGCCCTATAGGATTTTTATAAGTTTTATAAGTTTTTAACCCTGAGCTTAGAGAGCCCAGATCTTTCATATGGGCAATAAGTGTATCTGCCCCTCACTCCAGAGGGAGACACTTTTTAAAATCATGGACAGTAAGCATGTCTACTACCCTTGACTGTGGCGGAAAACATTATCTCTGTCTTCCAAGGCTGTTTGCTCTGCAAACATCCTTGAGAATATAGTCCACAGCAAAGGCAGATGATGCCCCTGCCTCTGCCTGTGTACCTGTGTTACCCAGCAAGGGCTGCCATAAAAACCTTCCACGGGCTGGGCATGATGTCTCATGCCTGTAATGTAACACTTTGGGAGGATCGCTTGAGCCCAGGAGTTCAAGACCAGCCTAGGCAACATGGTGAAACCCCATCTCTACAAAAAATACAACAATTAACCAGGCATGGTGGTGTAAGCGTCTAGTCCCAGCTACTCAGGAGTCTGAGGTGGGAGGATGGCTTGAGCCCAGGAGGTCAAGGTTGCAGTAAGCTGTGATCATACCGCTGCAATCTAGCCAGGAGGACTGAGCGAGACCGTCTCAAAAAAAAAAAAAAAAAAAAAAAAAAAAAAAAAAAAAAAAAAAAAAAAAAAAAAAAAAAAAAAAAATCAGCAAAACAAACAAAAAAAAAACAAACAACAAAACAGACTGCATGGCTTTAACAGAAATACATTTTCTCACAACGCTGGAGGCTGAAGGAGCCAAGATCAAGCTGTTGCAGGGTTGATTTCTGCTTGTCTCGTGGACGCTGCCTCCTCACTGCGTCCTCAGGTGGTCTTTCCCCTGTGTCTATGTCCCGATCTCCCCTTCTTAGAAGGACTCCGTTCACATTGGATTAGACCCCTTTCTAATGACATCATTTTAGCTTAATCACCTCTTTCAAGGTCCAATCTCTGAATATAGTCATATTCTGGGGTACTGGGGGTTAGGACTTTAACATACGAATTTCGGAGACATATTTCAGCCCGTGACTGTCTCTCTCACCACAGCATCTCTACTTCCAGCCTGCTACATCTCCTAAAAATCTTCTCCATCCCAGTCATGGGCAACTCCAGGCCACCATTTGCTTAGGCTAAAAATTTGGTGCTGTTCTTTTTTGCTTCTCATTCTCTCCTCTTCAGCCACACTCGCCTCCTTGCTGCCCCCTAAATACACCCATCACACCCCGACCCTTGTCACCTGTTTCTCTGTCAGGAATGCTCTTCCCTGGCTCCTTCACCAGGACGATTGCTTCCTTAGGTATTTGCTCCAAAGCCACCTTTTCAAGGCAGCGTTCCCTGACATCTCTAAAATGGCATCCCTGTTCCCCAGCACTTCGTATCCCCCTTCTTTGCTGAGGTAGAAAGGACAGTGGTCCCCTAAGATGCCCACATCCTAATCCCTGAAACCAGTAGATATATTAGTCTAAGTGGCAAAGGACTTTACAGATGTGATTAAATTAAGGACCTTGAGATGGAGACATTATCCCAGATTATTCGAGTGGGCCCAGTCTAATCACAGGAGGCCTTACACGAGGAAGGCAGAAGGGTCGGAAAGAGAGGAGATGTGATGACAGGTATAAGGGAGAGAGAGAGGAGAGGAAGGCAAGGGAGAGAGAGAGATTGGAAGATGCCACTGGGCTGGCTTTGAAGATGGAGGAGGGGGCCAGCAGCCAGGGAATGCAGGTGGCCTCTACAACCTGGAAAATATGAGAAACTATATGGAACTATAAAAAAATAAATTTTTGTCATTTAAGTCACTAAATCTGTGCTAATTTGTTACAGCAGCAATGGGAAATGAACGCACTTGCTTTATGTTTTTCTTAGCACTTACTGCTGTCTAACTCATCATATACTTTACTTATTTACTGAGGGAAGTAGAAAAGTTCCTCTTCAAAGTTTCCTTTCTTGTGAAAGAATAAATCATAAGTGTGCTAATAACTCTTTGTTAAGCCCTATCCTATGTAGCTGTTAGACATGCCATGCTTACAGGCACATAGTACATTCTATGTCCTTGTATTTTAACCAAGGTATCTGTGCTGGACGTGCTCACAGGCATATCCCAGCTCTCCATTGCTTTTACCTGTTTAGAAAACTTTTAAGTTGTTAGCCAATCAGGTTTTAGTTTAGATGGTGGGGTCTGGCTCCAACCAAAGGAGATCAGACACAGCGGTAAGGACAACCCCAAATGTATAAAGAATACATATGTCTAACTGACACAAGAACAGAAAACCAAACACCGCATGTTCTCACTCATAAGTGGATGTTGAACAATGAGAACACATGAACACGGGGAGGGGAACATCACACGCTGGGGCCTGGGGGGGTGGGAGCTAGGGGAGGAATAGCAGTGGGTGGGGGATTGAGGAGGGATAGCATTAGGAGAAATACCTAACGTAGATGATGGGGTGATGGATGCAGCAAACCACCACCATGGCACGTGTATACCTATGTAACAAGTCTGCTCAGCCTGCACCCCGGAACTTAAAGTATAATAAATACATTTTTTTAAGAAGAATAAGTATGCCTGCTTTCCTTTGTCATTGTACTCTCATGGCAAGTTGGCTAGCAAGGGTACCCTTTCTGCAGTCCAGGAAGTAAAAATTGCATTGCTGAGAGATCCTTTTGTCTCAGTGCTGATTTTTCTTTGCAACACTGAGGATCTGTTTCCAACATTTATTTTTTTTGGTATGGTTTGTGTCCCCCACTAGCACATAAGCTCCATGAGGGCCAGGATTATTTTTTGTCTGTTTTGCCCCCAT